CCAAGAGCAACCATGAGAAGCTGACACTTCTCCCAACACCAAGGTCACTGCACGGGAAAATTTTATCAGCTGAACACAAAGAGAAGTATCTCCTCCCCCACATACCTCTTTTTTCCCATCACCATCAAAGTCACACAAGGCCAAGGAATGAACGTTATCTCCAGTGACCTGAAAACAAAACCCAGTGTCATGAGCAAGCCCTCTTTTTCCACTCCATCTGACTATAATAGCCACAGGGAAGAGAAGATTACAAACCACCAACAGGTGTTATTCAAATTCTGCATATTTTTTAATGCAGAGAATTATAAATACGGATGGTCAAAAACAAACAAAACTAAATAAAGAACATTTAGAGTAAAAATGAGTCCTAAAGAGAGTGTTTTGTTCTGCGTACCGTCCAAAAAAGGTCCTTTCCTTCATGATCGAAACCCTGCAGAGCACAATTTCCACCAATAATCGCAAGAGGAGAGGAAATGTCCCCCAGTGTCCCCAACACAATTGCATTGGCCCCATCTGCCACCTAAGAAGAAGAAGAAAAAAAAATTTCAGATAACAAGGATGCGCGGGCGCACGGGAGGTAACATGTATCCTTATCTGTATTTGGATACTCAAATTCCTCTGTCATCAATGTGAGAAGCCACATGGTCTCCTGAGAGGCAGGTGTATGTCACTGTGGCGTTCGCGTGCTGATGCAAGGCTGAGCGCAGATGCAGGGTACACTCAGGCCCTTGGCGTCACACACTAATCTGCTACGAAGTCCAAGGCTCTGTAGGATACTTGAACAAACATTATTCTAGATGCTTCTGTGGAAGTATGTTTAGACGAGGTTAACATTTAAACCAATAGCCTTTGAGTAAAGCAGATTATACTCTATAATGTGGGAGGGCCTCATCCAATTAGTTGAAGATCTTAAGAGAAAAAAGACTGGTCCCTGAGGAAGGAAGAATTCAGAACACTGCCTTCAGACTTGTGTTTCAACATCAGCTCTTCCCTGGGTCTCCAGCCTGCTAGCCGACCCTGCAAATTTTGGACTTGACAGCCTCCACAACCACGTGAACCAATTCTTTAAAATATATCCCCCCCACCCCCCTCTCTCTATACACATCCTGTTAATTCTGTTTATCTGGAGAACCCTGACTAATACAGTCCTAAACCCAATTCCAGTCTTGTGCAATAACACAGGAAGCAATCTATGTGACCAAAGATGCTTAGAAGGTCAGGAAAAGCACCCACACACAGTTAAAGAAAAAAAATTGAATAGCTGGGCTTTATCAAAATTGAAAACGTTTACTCATCAAAGATACCTACCTGTTGGAATAAGCCACATACTGGGAGAAACTATCTGTTATATATAAATCTGACAAAGAACTTGTACCCACTATCTCCAAAGAACTTCTACAAATCAATAATACACACAAACTACTAATAAATAAATAGGCAAAAACTTAAACACTTCACAAAGGACATATAAACAGGCACAGGAAAGGGTGTTCTACATCACTGTTCACAAGGGAAATGCAAAATGAAAGCGGTTAGCAATCATGACCAAATAAATGTCAAGTGGATGAAGCAGATGCAAATGGCAAAATCACCGTGGTGTTGGACTACAGCACAACAGCCACGTAATAAACCAAAATCCATGTCTGATCTTGTTCAAGCATAACAAAATGAACATGAATGGGTCAGGGGGATTTTATGGCGATCAAGGGGTATACTTGCCTCTCTGTAGAAAAAATCTGAATTATTGTAGACATCGTAAGCCAAAAGGTTCGTCTGTGTCCCCACTAAAAGAGCATCACAGCCAAGTGCAGGGTTCAATACTCCTGCAGTCAGGCAGCTGACAGCCTGGTTGATGTTGAGAAGAGAAACATCAGACTCCAGGGGGCTCTGGTAGACTCTGGGCGCGCTGAAATGCTGGCTCCGTGCATGAGGATTGTGAATAAAAACCTGCAACCAAACCAGTCCATTACATTCCCTTAAAATACGTAAAATTAACATACATTTTCTAAAAGACTAGGTTATTAACAGATATCAACATTAACAAAAGGTCACTTTAATCACCCAGAAACTTACTTAAAACAACTACAGCACAGTTCTGTGCATGGCTGGCTTTCAATCACTATGAATTGTGGGAATCCATGGCTCCTGGCATCGTAAAGAACAAGGTCATGTACAAGATCTAGTTCAGTAATTCTCAACCTTCTGGCCCTTTAATTACAGTTCCTCATGTGGTGACCCAACCATAAAATTATTTTCGTTGCTACTTCATCACTGTAATGTTGCTACTGTTATGAATCGTTATGTAAATATCTGATATGCAGGATGGTCTTAGGCGACCCCTGTGAAAGGGTCGTTCGACCGCCACAGGTTGAGAACCGCTGATCTAGTTGCTTACTAGGGCAGCTTACATGCTAGGTTCCAGCAGGCTGTCAGAGCATTCTGACACACCAAAACGATCCCAGCAAATAAAATAATAAACACTTCCTTTAGTATCTTTCAACCAAGCACCGAATGAATTCACTTCTTTACCCTTAAAACAGTCTGGTAGTTAGTAAATCTGTTTTACAGACTTCAACTGAGTCATACAAATATCAGATATAAAAATACATTTTGCCCCCTTAATTGTCCGGTTTCCCCTCTCAAATGTAAGTTCTAAGGGGGAAGAGACTCGTCACATTCACCCTTGCACCTGCAGAGCTAAGAACAGTACCCAGCACATAAGACTTCAATAAATTAGGGGCTGAGCTACTATCAATGGGCCCTTCCCAGCAGAAACAATATGAATTTCTGTCTGGCATTTGTCAGTGCTTAATAATAGCAATGAGCATTATTCTTTGCCAGAGCCTGTGCTAAGTGCTTTGCTCCATTAAACAACTTAATGAAAATTATTTTTTAATCATGTATCCCAAGGCATATCCTAAGAATACACAACATAAGGGAAAGGGTTATTATATATATGTTTTAATCATTATGAAATCTGCTCTGGCTCAGAGAACCAGGACTCTAATCTCATTTCCATGACTTTCTAGTTGAGTGACTTCAAGTATCACTTCAAACCTTTCTGAACCACTAGTCAGTGACGTGGGAGGGATCGAAAAATAACAGTTAACAACCAGTAACCATTTCTTATATGGCAAATGCTTCATATATATTAACTTACTTAATCCTCATAACAACCCGATGTTGTAGATAATATTATTAAGTAACTTGCCCCGGGTCATGAAGTCAGTAGGTACCAGAGCCAGCGCTCTGGTGCTGCCCTTGGCATTGAGATGATGAATGTCAATCCTCAACATCTACCACTTTTTTAAAAATTGGTGGCCGTTGAATGACCATGTCTTGTTCATTTCTGTGACTCCCACACCTTGCACAGCACCTGGCACATCTTTCCCCGTAAGTTATTCACTAAGTACATAGGTATTCAGTGAATAACTTATGGGAAAAAATGTGAATGTACATGGATACATATCAAAATCAAAAGTGCAATCTGAATCATTTCATTGGGGGGTGGGGTCGTTGTCTATATTTTTTCACCAAGTTGTGTGGCTCGGGGCAGTGAGATAGGTGAAGGAGTTCAGAGGGAAAGGCAGAGAATCTGAGGTCTGTTACCACTGCTAACCCTAACCAGTCCCTTCCCCTTGCACAGTTCACTGCTCAGAAAAGCCATTCATGCGAGACCCCATTGTTCATTATTCTGCGCAGGATGGAGAACTACAGGACTACCGACCGGTTGCCAGGCAACCCAAGGCTGGGGGCGGAGTCGGGGGATGAGGGGCGGGGTTGAGGGTAGCGGCCCGCGGAGATCGGGGGACTCCAGGGGCCCAGGCTCCGTGCAGGTGGGAGCGGTTACCTTGCCCGCTTGGGTGGCAGCCGCCAGGCACGGGTGCGTCCCGTCGTAGCGCCCTATGGCCACCATGCGGGGGCTGATTTTGTGGCGCAGTTTCAGGGTGAACACGGGCA